AAAAACCCCTTAGCTGTACTTCCGGACCCGTGCGCCTTCGGTTTCTCAATATAAAGGCTAATTTGTCATGTTTAATCATGCGGTCTTCGACCTTGTCACATGCGTATTCTTAATCATGTTACTTGATCTCTAACCATGTCATGGTTCCCGATCATGTCGTAGTCTCCGATCACTTCTTTATGCGCGATTTCCAATTGCATCTTTATGCGTGATCTCCAATCACTTCTGCATGCGTGATCTTCGACCACGTCTTGATTGTGATCTTCGATCGTACTTTTTGCCTTTTGGCCATGCACCTTTTGTGCCCATGTATTAGTATTTGTATTTTCTTATTTACAAGGTCTTCAACCACGTGGATTCATGTGATGATAATTTAAACAGATATGGCCTTCGACCAAACAGTTCGAATGTTGAGAAAACATGCATTCCATTAAGCGTTCATCGAATGATGGACAGTTTAGGGAAAAATCACAAATGACAGAAAGATTAAAGCGACAAAGAAATGAAAAATTATAAAATCAAATGAAATACTTCCTCAGATGAATTGCGTCCCAAGGGCCAGTACATATTGACGTCTCTCGATATGCCTCAGCATATAGGCCAATTTTCCATAAACCTCCGTTACCTCGTACGGTCCTTCCCATGTCTATCCAAATTTTCTTGCGTTTAAGTCCTTAGTATTCTCCATGACCTTCTGAGTACCCACTCGCCTACTTTGAATTTCCTCTGCCTTACTCGTTTATTGAAATAATTGGCTGCCTGGTTCTAGTAGTTCGCAAGTCGTAATGCTGCAGCTTCTCGCTGTTCTTCAAGCATGTCAAGGTTGGGAGCTAGTTGTTGCTCATTATCATTGCTTTCTACCACCAACGTCCTGAGTGTGGGTAGTCCAATTTCTGTGGGGATGACGGCCTCAGTTCCATAAGCCAAGGAAAAAGGGCTTTCACTGGTTGGTTTTCGTTTGGTAGTGCGGTATGCCCATAATACGTTTGGCAGTTCCTCTGACCATTTGCCTTTACGTTGTTCAAGCCTTCTCTTCAAGCAATCAAAGATTGTATGATTAGTTTTCTCGGCTTGTCCGTTTCCTTGAGGATAACTCCGAGACGAGAACTGTTGAATGATCCATTTTTCCTCGTAGTAACTTCTGAATTTACGGTTATCGAACTGGGTTCCGTTGTACATCACGATGGCCCTTGGTATCCTAAAGCGACATTATATTCCGCCATACGAATCTTATCACATCTGTTTGGGTCACCGTCTTGTAAGCCTCGGCTTCCACCCATTTGGTGAAGTAGTTAGTGGCCAAAATGACGAACTTCTTGCCCCCCACTACGGTGGGAAGTGTTCCTACGATGTCCATCCCCCAGCTAGTGAATGGCCAAGGCCCTATAACAGGGTTAAGTTCCTCAGTTGGTTGTCTAATAAGGGGTACATGCCTTTGACATTTATCACGTTTCCATGAAAATTGTTCTGCATCGCGGGCCATGTAAGGCCAAAAATATCCTTGGGTCAATGCTTTGTGGGCCAAGCTCCTCCCACCCATGTGGTTCCCACATGTCCCTTGGTGTATTTCTTTTAGCACCCATTCGGCTTCCCGTGGATCGAGGCATCTGAGATATGGCCCTGAAAAAGACTTACGAAAAAGTGTATCATCTATAATGGCATACCTTACGGCCTTTATTCGTAATTTTCTTGCCTCGATCGGGTCATTGGGTTGGGTTCCCTTCATGAGATAGTTCATGATTGGAGTCATCCACGTTTCTTCTTCGGCGTCAATCTGCATAACTCTAGGATCAATTGGTATACTAGGACTCGATAGGAGTTCCACCGGGGCAACCCTCATGTCTTCCACTGATGTTGATGCGGCGTGGGCCAAGCGATCTGCCTGAACGGTCATTTCTCTCGGTATTTGTTCAAACCCTATTTTTTTCGAACCTGCTGGCTAAATCCTTTACCAATTGTTGGTATGCCCCCATTCGTTCATCCTTAGTCGCGTATTCCTCAGTTGTTTGGCCGACTATGAGGAGAGAATCGCTATGGACAACTAAGCACCCCACTTTCAGTGTCCTAGCTAGTTGGAGTCCCAACACTAAGGCTTTGTATTCCACCATGTTGTTTGAAGCGGGGAAGTCTAATCGGACGGAATACTCCAGGTCCACTCCTTCATGCGACGAGAGGACGATTCCCACTCAGGCTCCTGCCTGATTAGATGATCCATCTACATACAATTCCCATTGAGCCTTGTCTAGGTTTGATGCCTCCTTGACTTCATTATGGCTTTCCTGTTTTTCGTTAGGTGGATAGCATTCTACTAGGAAATCGGCAATTACCTGGCCCTTCTGGGCTGTTCGAGGTTGATATCTAATGTTAAATGCTCCGAGCTCGATGGCCCACTTTGTAACTCTTCCTGAGGGGTCTAGCCTGGATATGATTGCCCTGATTGGTTGGGTCATCAATACGATGATCGTGTATGCCTCGAAGTATTGTCGAAGTTTCCGCTTGGCCGTCACTGAAGCTAACATCAGTTTCTCAGCCACTAGATATCTTTTCTCGGCCTCAATTAAGCTCTTGCTCACATAAAATATAGGTTGCTGGATTGAATTTTCCTCCCTTAGAAGTACAACACTTACAGCAATTTCAGTGATAGCCATGTATAGGTATAAAGGTTCGCCTTGCTTTGGAATAGTCAGGGTTAGGGAACCGGTGAGGTATTTCTTCAGCTGCTCAAAGGCTTCTTTTTGTTTTGGCTCCCATATGCTTCCGTCCTTATTTCAAATTGCCTGGAAGAATGGCTTAGAACGATCTGATGATCTTGAAATGAATCGGCTAAGAGCCGCTATTCGCCTGGTCAGAACCTGCACATTTCTAGGTGTTCTTGGATCAGGCATATTTCGTAGCCCCTCCACCTTCGATGGGTTGGGCTCGATGCCTCGCTTGTTTACTATTTACCCCAAGAACTGCCCTGACGAAACACCGAATGCGCACTTCTTCGGGTTAAGCTTCATTCGATATCTCCTCAATATGTCGAAGACTTCTTCCAGGTGCCTAACATGCCTGGCTCTTGATGACCATATCATCGATGTAAACCTCCATCGTTTTGCCGATCTGGCTTTTGAACATCTTGTTCACTAGTCTTTGATACGTCAACCCTGCATTCTTCAGCCCGAATGGCATCACTGTGTAACAATACAAGCCTCGCTCGGTGATGAATGTCGTCTTTTCCTAGTCCTCAATTGCCATTGGGATTTGATTATATCCTGAATAAGCGTCCAGGAATGAGAGAAGTTCATACCCAGCGGTAGCATCTACCATTTGATCGATCTTTGGTATCGGATAGCAATCTTTCGGGCACGCCTTATTCAGGTTGATGTAGTCTACGCACACACGTCATCTCCCATCCTTTTTACTTACTACCACCATATTCGAGACCCAGGTCGGACACCACATTTCTCGAATGAATCCTGCCTCGAGCAATCAGTCCACTTCATTGTTAATAATTTGGTTTCGTTGAGGTGTGAACCTTTTCTGCTTTTATTGGTACGATGGGTGGTTTGGGTCGACGTTCAGTCGATGACACGTAATCTCCAAGTCGATCCCCAGCATGTCTATATGTGACCACACGAACACGTCCTTATTCTCTCTTAATAACTTCATTAGTTGGTCTACCTCATCTTCAGATATGAGGGAGCCCACCAACACTTTTCTATTAGGATAAGAGGGATTCAAAACTTCCTCTCTGAGCGGTTCGATCGTTGGAAGCTCTAAGTTATCCTCATCCTCTTGTTCTGGTGGGTCCTCCGTTAATTGCTATAAATCCTCACTCTGCTGTAAAGTCGCAGTCTTGAGGTTAGTTGCTATGCTGTAACATCTTCTGGCCTCCACTTGATCCCCCTTAATATCAACTGTGGTTCTCCCATCTTCAGATATGCACCTCATCACCTGGCAACGTGTCGATGCTTCTCCATCCATTCGATGAATCCAATTCCTTCCCATTATAGCATTATATGCGCTTGGCTCATTTACAACCACGAAAGTAACGAATAGGATCTTACCTACGGCAATGACTGGCAGAGTCACATCTCCGATCGGTTGCGCTTTCGTCCCTTCAAATGGCGTAGATCAGTGTTGGGTTTGGTTGAATCTTCTTTTCATCCAGATTCATCTTTTTGTAGGTGCTCCAGAGCAACACGTCTGTGCTACTTCCCCCGTCAATCATCATTTTTTTTACCATCGAATTGGCAACGCGAAGGGTAATTACTAATGCGTCGTTGTGAGGGAACTCAATTCCTTCCATGTCTTTCTACGTGAATAAGATGACTCTAATCTTTTCCAGGGCTTTGGCAGATTCAGAGGCAGATGCAATCCCGTTTATATGTCTCACCTTTTCGACTCATCTTTTTTCGAACCGGGATCGAGACTCTTTTCTCTCCACGGGATTCGGTCAGCCATAGATGGTGTTGATCTCCAGCAGTTCTTCATTCACGATATTGCCGGTCATTGTCTTTGACCCACCCTATTCACTTGTCCTATTCTCAGATTCAACACGGTACTGGGATAACATTCCCTTTCTCAGCATTGCCTCCACTTGATACCTGAGACTTCGGCACTCATCAGTAGTGTGTCCAAAGTCGTTATGATGGGCACACATCTTGTTCATGTCTCGCTTTTCTATTGATTTGCTGATCGTAGGTGGTGTTCGAAATATAGCTAAATTCACCGTGAGCCTAGTGAAAGGTTCGCTTTGCTTAGTTCCGTTGCTGGGTTCTTGTCTCGAGGAATATCGCTTCGTCTCCACCTTTTGCTTCGATGAAGGCTTTGGGATCGCAATGGTGGAAGTGGCGCGTTTTGACTGGGTGAGCTCTTCTTCTTCTAGTCTGATGATTCCATCCGCTCGAGCCATCATTTCCCTCATATCCACTAGTGGGGTCTTCACTAAAAACTTGTGCATTTTTGTTCCAGGTATGACCCCCTCACAAAAGGCCAACGAAGCAGTATGAGAATCACATTCCTCAAGAGTAGATATTTCCTCCGTAAAACACCTCAAGTAGTCTTTAAGGCTTTCTCTGGTACTTTGTTTCGTGCTGAACAAGATCGTGACATCCTTTCTCCTCTTTTGATTGCAAATGTACTGAGATATAAACATTTCACAGAGTTGGGTGAAACCGCCAATAGACCTTGGTTTCAGCTATCTGAACCAAATCAGGGCCGATCCTGACAAGCTTGAGGGGAACAATTTACATAACAGGGCCTCGTCATCTCCTTCGAGCACCATTTGTTGCTGGAAATGATAGATATGTTCAATGAGATCGGTCGTGCCCTCGAACAGCTTAAACTTAGGTTGGGTGAACTTAATTGGCTTCTTGGATTTCAAGATGTCTTCTGTGAACGGCGACTTGCAAATTCCTTTCGCTGCCTCCAAAGCTAGTTCTGCGAGTGTTTGCGGTTAGTACCCTCTGACAATTTTCTCTATCTGATTGCGCAAATCAGTATCCTTCGCCCTTTTCTCCATTTCACGCAGGTCGAGATCTTTGTCTTGGTCTTCTGTCGTGGCTTTGTCTCGGACGCTTGAGTGTGTGCTGTTGGAGGAGTCTCCCTCAGAGATCTCATGTTTTTACTTCCTCTTGCCCTCTTTTGAGCCCTCACGGCAAGCAGTGTTTTGTGCCTTCTCCAGAGCTTTCTCCACCACCTTTCTTGTTTCGCGCAATTCTTTTATGATTTCCCTTAATTGGATAACAGCAAGGCTTGGTTCCCCATCCTGGACGTTGGACCTTGTGCTTCCGAGTCAAGGAGTGGACGTCGCATTCCACGGGATAAAGGTGTTTGGAGTTCCCTGTGCAGATTCAGTCATATTTATGATCAACTTTGCAAGATTCCCACAGACGGCGCCAACTGTTGGAGTAGGATTTCTTTCAAGAAGAAATACCTCCACAGGTTCTTGACTGAAGTCCGCACGCTTCCTTGGTCGAAAGAGAACTCCGGATTACGTTCCCAAGGTCGAACGACGGAAAGGGGGTGAATACCTACAAAAGTCACTCTGACGCTCAAGTCAGTGTTTGTGCAGCGTACTCTTAGTGTTCAATTGAATTTGTCGTAAATTGGCTGGAGGTCTAGCCGGGTTTTTATAGCGCTTCGAGTTCTTGGATTTGGCTATACTTCCCTAGCTTTGCGCATCTTGTCCTCCACTTCATGGTAGTGGGATCAAATGAGTGATTTGCGTCTCCCTTGCTCCGCACTTCTCTAGTGGGAGGGAAGCTCGATGATCCCACGTCTTTTGGTTGTGGCATATGGGTTAAGCCATGATAAATGAGATTTGGTCCCCATAGTAACTTGGCCCGAATTCACAAAAGAGGTGATCTATAGCCTAAATTAAGAGTCATTGAATACAGGAAGATAAGTGAAACTGTTTCAAAGGAGGATATTAGGACTCACGATCCTGGATTGGAAAATAGCATATCTCTCTTTATCTATCTATCTCTCTAGGTGCTGGAAATTTTTTTAAACTTTCTTTTATTAAAATTGAAAAGATGCGACCATCCGAGTTTGAATTGTGCATCTTTTAAGTGAACAAATGCATCACTTGCCTCTTCAAATAAAGTCACATACTTAACTTTGGTAAATAACGTCAACATCTATAGATATGTAAGTCTCACACATGTTAGAGAAAATAGAGCTAGTTGTGAACCAGGAAAGTGATAAAACAGTTCGAGGGAGTAGTGAATCGGCCATTCCCACAAGGAAGAAAGTAAAGTAAGTAAGTAGCTCACCCCCCAACTTTATAATGGGCCGGTTTCGGTCCAATCCAATAATCTACGTAGCAAACCAGAAGAAATTCCTGTAGTTGAATAGGCCTCGTTCGATAAGTTCAATCCTTTCAATATGTTATCTTTGCTTAGTCTCCCGAAGTAGGGGATAGATACGATAGGCACGAAATGTAGAATAGCACGCCACGTTCTAAGCGCATAAACGTCTTTGTCTTTCGTGTTTAAGATGCCTTAGGACTAGTAGTGAAGCGCAAAGCGAAAAAGGAAGTGGGAAAGCGCCCGGCTGCGAAGCTGACAGCATTTTTTCAATCTACGAGTAGCAAAGGTGGTACCCCAGGGGAATGTGAAATGTGGAATGAATCAGGAAGTAGCCCTTTTCTTTTAAGATTAGCAGAGTAATGACTTTCATTAGGAAGCAGTCCCCTTGGGATTAGCAAAATAAAAGCCCTTTTTCTCGTTATAGGTATCCTTTGCTTGTGTAATGACTCGACCTTTCTCATTTATGAAGACTTGAAATCGCATGCATAAGTAGTAGGTTGGTTCATTCAGATAGTGCACTATTCTTAGAGATCAATGTAGGGTCTCATTGAGTTTGTAGTTGAGAGAGTTCAAAGAATCATGGTTCGCTAGGACTTTATAATTTGGAGTGCTACAATCATAAGGTCATGGATAGTTAATTATATGCTAAGAGACTGTTGGAAAAACAATCTATCAGCGACTAATCAAATAATATATATTTAACAAAAATTTAAATATACCAAACGAATTTAGTAATGTAAGAATACCAGTATTATATTAACAGACAAATGTAAAATACATAAAGGAATTAAATCAAATTCACTGACATGTATATGAGATAGAGGCTTGCTGATTCATGTTATGTCCTAAAGACAATATTTTACCCCTTCTTCGTGCTTGAAGTTCTACACATGTGATTGTCTCCAGAATTCAATTTTCTGTATTTTAAGTCCTAGGACTTATGTGTGTCTTAGTTCTTATGTGCAAAACGTTGGGGGCTATTCTAATTTAAATAGACCTCTCATATTTGCGGCCCCTAAAATCCTTAGAAGCTCGCTCTCGTAACTGCTCCTGGTAAAACTCGTGCGGTTGCTCACTTTCACTAAGTCTCTCGACCAATTTCTAGGCCAGAAGTCCAGCCTCCTTCTTCTAGGCTTTGGTTCTTTCCTCCTAACTACGAAGTTGTTCCATGGCCCTTGTTTCACGCGCTACACTTGTCATCTACTCTCTCGTCTCTTATTTCTTCCATGTATTTTCCGTCCACGATCTTTTAAATAAAAATAAGACTTTTTATCACAAAACGTTCATGGGGTTTTAAGTTTTCATGTGACATTAGTGGTCCTCAAGGTTAACAACCATGCTCAAAAGTATTATGTGTCGTTATGTTCCATTCCATCCAAAATTCTGCTAAAATGGGTGACATGGCACACATGTGGGGCTCACATATCTAATGATACCATGTCATGTGAATTAAATAAAAATACATATTTTAAAATAAAAACTTAATAATAAAAAACCTCCAATTTCACCCTCCATCTCCCTCCCCCCTCCACGGCTCCGGCTCCCCCTCTCTTTATTCTCTCTGCATATCTCTGCCCTCTCTCTCTCCTTCCCGACCCAACCCCCAAATGGTCTCAAATCAAGCACACAAGATGCACAAGATACAATTTTTTTAAAAAAAAAAATTTTAAAAAAATTTATTTAATCCACTTGGTGCAATATCACTTGATATGTGAGCCTCACCTATATGCCACATCACCAATTGAACATATTTGTAGACGGAGGCTGACGGCAAAGACTACTTGTGAGCATTCATATTGACCTTTAGACCACGAAGGACAGAAAAATAAATAAATAAATAAAGGACGCAAACGTTTTGCAGTAAAAATTCTAAAAATTAAAATCACAAATGAAAATGGTACCTAACCACCTAATTATAATTAATAATTAAGTTTTAATTAGCTTGGGATATTGGGTAAATATATATATATCATATTTCATAATCAATTGCTTATATCTACTTTTACATTTTTTGGGTTTGCTTCTTTTCTGTATCAGTCAATTGGTTGCCTTGTTTGTAGAAACAGAAAATTTTGGTATTTTGCACCTCAACAGAGATGAGGTTGCCCGCCCACTTTTACATTGCGTCAGTTAACAGCAGAAATCTTTTAAACCAGATTGTAGCACAACAAAATGACAGCATATAAACCTAAAGCTAGCAACCTTTTTCCATGAAAACCAATTGGATAAAGATGGCCCAAATTAGAACTGGTCAAGCTGTATTTCCGGTTGGCATTTACCCTAATCCAAATACCAAGTTAACAAAAATAACATTTGGTTGTTATTTTTCCAACCAAAAAACTAACCCCCCAAAGCATTGTATATTTCAATCTCCTCTCTCTCTCTCTTTCTCCCTAATCCATCACCGTCATGAAATGGTAGAACCCTTTGCATCTCCAACCCTACCCATTCCTCTCTCGTATGCAAGCTTAGCCTGAAGGCTTTCAACCTCTCTTTGTTGAAGAGCTTTCTTGCTAGCCAAGGCACACACACATATTGTAACCATGACCCTTAATTGCCTAACTTGCCAGGTCCTCAACAGGACAAACTCCTCTGGCTCTGATAAAGATAATGTACGCAAGGACAAGGCTTATAGGAAACTTTGTTGTGTAAACATCAATATGGAGAGAAGCTGGTCTGGGAACCTAACTCCGCCGTCTTACGAGCAAATCCAGGAATCTTCTATGTTTATGCAGGATAAGAAGAAGGTGAAGATGTCCCTGGGGCATCGCCGGCTTATGAGTACAGGTGGGGTTGCATATGAAGGAAGCACCGAACCGCGCTTGGTGAGGAGCTCTGGAATGAGAAGGGATTGGAGCTTTGAGAATTTGGCTCTCCTCAGAAACGAGAAGAAAGGGAGAAACTCTTAAGATATAATTGACACAAGTTCAATCTTTTCATGCTCATTTCTTTTTTCTTCTTCTTTATTTCTTTCTTTTTCACTTTTTAAATTTAATTTTAATTTGTTTGTTTACTTTTCTGAGCTTTTGTGTCGTTATCTTTTGAAACGGAGAGAAATGCAAATGTGTCAATTGAAGTTTGATCGTTGTGGAGGAGATTTGAACATATATAGTGTCGAAAATTGAAATTCCTTATTCAAATGTACATGTTGGTTTTTCCTATAGGAAAAAAAAAAAAAGAGAGAGAGAGAAAAAAAAATTGAAGGATTATTTTCACTCTTGGGTTTATTCATACTAGTTTCTATATTTTAAAAGAGATAAACTAAAAATGAGTTCAGATTAGAATAGGTAAGGATTCTATTTCATTTAATGTCCTTAAGGAAATTCCGTACTCCATTGCTATT